ATTTCATGTATGTAAATTTTATACAAATTTTTATAATATTATTTGACGCAATAGTAATATATATCACACATATTTGCATCTTTATGTTTGTTTATGTTTATCAATAACATAGCTTAAGAAAAATCATACATAATTCATTTTCAAATTAATATATAAATACTTCTGTAAAATTTAAATCGTAAATTTACCTTTGCAAATTGTTTTTCTTCATTCTTCGTGTTTCCAATCTTGTGGAACATTGCAACCTCTATGGAAAATTTTGTATGACCAAAATGTAATGTACATTTATTACACTACAAAAAGTATGTAAAAATTTTTAATTACTATAAGGAAGAATAATTTTATTTATAAATTATGACTTTACGTGTAATTATACACCTTTAATAGAGAGTCTCAAAATTACCACTATAATTGTTGTAATTTTACCTGCAATTTTTTTTATAATATATGCATTAGAGATCGATATACATAAGTATAAAAAGATATCTTACGATGACTTCCTTCTTTAATTTAACGTGGATCATTTTTAATCCTTAGTCGCCGTAGTCGCTTTAACTCTCGCTTTAATCGCAAACTCACGCGACTACCGGCTTTCTTCCCGACAACATATCACGATAAAAAATATCTACCAGGTAAAGAACTTTATAAAGACTTAACTGGATTTCTATACAAATCATAACTCGCTTTTTGTAAGCTAACGTGGCAGCTGCGACGTGATTATCTTTCTTGATGTCGTTAGCACAAATAATTTTATGATTCTCCCGACTGGGTACAAATAATATAACTAAATTTAACGACGTTATATGATTATATTAACGAGCATTCTGTCATTTGATTGTAACGCGGTAGGAGACATAATAACCGATTCTTGCAACTTGTTGCGTATAATTTTGCTGTAGGAAGCGGAAACTGCGTGCTCCCGCATAATCCTTTAAATTACCATCTACATAATACCGGGATTATCTGATAATTTCGCGAGATACTTATATAATTTCACCCGATGATCGACGAGATGCTTAATGTCCGCGATGTTTATACGCGTAACTCTCTTCGTCTTGGAAAATAAATACTCGTACGGATTAACGAAATGTTACGAAACATTAATTAATAATCGCGAACGAGCCGTTCTTTCATCTTGATTAACGTAATCTAATTTCGCACGGCTATCTTTTTCAGTCGAGTGATTCTGGAGGTTTCCGTGCACGCAGAAGATCACCTCAGGCGATCGCGATGGCTACACTATCTTTGCGCATCTCCATACCGGAAAAAAATGCCACCAAGATGATGCAGTTCGATCCCAGCACATCGGTGTACGATGCCTGTCGTATTATCAGAGAAAAACTTGCCGAGGCCAGCAACATGGGTCAACGTAAGCGTTCGATATTTTATTCGGCTGCATCTAATTAAATTTATCGAGTACTTTTTACAATATATTTTAATATATTCCAAATATATTTCAGTATATTACAAAAAAAAAGCAGTATTTTTCGATGAAACACATTAATCCTTGTATGATACTTATGAATTCAATGTATCCTATGCGATTTTTTACATTGTTGTAACTTTTTTATAATATAATTTGAAGACCCGAATTGAGATTGAAAAAAACTTTAACTGTCCATTTGATAAGCCTGCAAGGGTATTTTCTTTTTGCGTTATTCTCCATATGAGAACGCACGAAAGTTCAAAGAGAGTACTTGGGACCCTCTTTAAACTTTACGGCGTTCTTTATTTTTTATTAAATATATTTAATAAACTTTTATTGAATTTCAGATAGTATAAAAATAAGTACACGAAAATGTAAAACTAAAATAATTATATTCAATGTATAAATAGTAAATATAATAAATAGAAATTTTATAATTTCTGTCAGTCTTCAGAGATCGCTCGGCCGGATTTATTGCTTTAGAGCGAATGTTGCATTCTCTAAACTAAATTCTAATAAACTGAATTATACATACAATAATAATATTTATATATGTACAATCCTTTATCTATTTATATTATTATTCTTTTATATTGTTCAAATAATAAAATTTTATGTATTAATTGTAAATTTAAAATATTGTATATAGATTCTTCAAAAATGTCGATTTTTGGTTCAAATAATTATACTTTTTTTGAGTGATTCATATCGTACTATTTTTTTTAATCCAAAGGATCAATTTAAAAAATCCCATGGATTTTTGCTTGAATATTAAATTTAAAAATTTGAGAATTTTTTAAATTTAAGTAATCATTTTTTGCGAATTTTTTCAATAAAATTTTTTTGAAGCATTGTAATTAATTAAAAATAAAATATTATTTATTTGATTCATATTTATCTGCCTTTGTCCGACTTCGAGGTATAAATTTCACATGGTTTGAGCTAAAAAAATATATATTTTGTTCAGAGATATAGCGTGACAAAGTTGCAGAGTTTTATAAATCTTAGTTGTTAGCGGGAAAGTAATCAAAAATAACCATATCATATTAGGGTTAAATTTCATTTCATTAAATTTTTTTATTACTGACAGTATTATTATGGATACAGATAAAATATTGCGGAAATGTCAATGCATCTCATTAGCCAACTAATTCTATAAAAAGAAAAAGAATATTTAAAGGTTTAATTTTTATACAGTATTATATTAAAAAATTTAATTTATACAGTATTATAATAAATAAATGCATTGCTAACTATTTTGGACAACCTATTTTGGATTATCTATTTTGGACAAATCATCGATTGACATTAAATACTTTATTAATTGGCTTCATCATTTTAACATGGATTTTATTTATGTGCTCTATAACAGTTCGTAAATATACTAATTTACATATCTTGATTTAATTGTTTGTAATTTAAAATTGAAGAATGTTTGGAAAATCGGCTGATACAAGTTGGTTATCAGAGCGTAAAAATAATGTTTAAATAATGAAATTTAATTTACATATATAATAATGAAATTTGATTTACATTTAGACGTTTCGATTTTTTCTTTGAACCATCTTCAGTATAAAATGAATGTTGCACAAGATGATGATCGCAATTACATAGTCGATGCTGAGGAGGACCTTCATTATTTGAGAATTAGTTTTACTTTTCGATAATCGCGTATGATTCATTTTTCTAAACATTTGTCAATTTCGCGATTCCAAAAATTATACTATTAAAACTGAAAATGATAAAAACGGCCGAAATGTTTATTAATGTGAATTATTGTCTTTATTAATTTATTGTTAATATGAAGAAATAAATTCATGTAATTTGTCATATTATGATATTAAATTTATGACTTGACCTTCTGATTGACTCTAAAAGCTTTGTTATTTATTTTTTATTTAGAGTTCTTAATTTATTTACAACATTTAAAGAATTATACATTGAAATTTAATTTACTCTGAAAAATACTATCTCAATAAATATAACTAATATAAATTAAATTGTATTTTATTTATTGTTACTGCATTACTGTGTAACACCTTTATATTTTCATTAGTTTCTTTATCCTCTACATTTTATGAATTACGTAAGCCGATTTTTTTTTAATGTATATTTAATTTATTTCTAAAATGTATACGATAAAATATTATGCAGCCTTGATCATAGAGCATTTCCCAATTGACGTAGGCGTTCTATGTCTAAAAAAATTAATTAAAAAATACTTTTTATTGAGAAGAACGTTTATTTTTATATAACATAATAATTTTAATATTCTATTTCTTTTTGGCTTTTATTACTGTGTTTTTTGCAAGAAAAAGTAATAAATTGAGGACTTATGACCGAGACATAAAAATATTAAGTCATAAAAATATGGTTCCAAGATTATTTTTATTGTTCTTTGCGTAGCGAAAGATTATGGCCTGTTTCTCGCTGATGAAGATGTGAAAAAGGGAGTCTGGCTTGAACCCGGGCGAAATCTCGATTACTACATCTTGAGGAATGGAGATCTGCTTGAATATCGTCGTAAGCTCCGTACACTTCGGGTCCGAATGCTGGACGGAACGTTGAAGACTATGTTGGTGGACGATAGCCAGCCCGTGGCTAATCTTATGGTAGTGATATGTACAAAGATAGGTATCACGAATCACGACGAGTATTCTTTGGTACGCGAGCTGGTGGAAGATGAAAACGATAATCAGAAACCTGGAAATTTCGGTACTCTCACGTTGAAAAGAAAGAAAGAAGAGAAGGGCGAAAGAGATGCAAAGATGGAACAATTGAGAAAGAAGTTAAAAACCGATGACGAAGGTAACGAACTCTCGAACTCATATTGATATTTAGATCAATATTTCGTTATCTACACATATTATGATATAAGTTTGCGAAATACATTTTTGACTTATGTTTTTTTTTTATTCATAGTAAATTGGATAGATCCGAGTAAGACCTTGCGTGAACAAGGTATAGATGAATCCGAAACCGTTTTGTTGAGGAGGAAATTCTTTTTCTCGGATCAAAATATCGACAGTCGCGATCCTGTACAATTGTCGCTGTTATATGTGCAAGCGCGAGATGCGATTTTGGACGGTACGCATCCAATTACTCAAGAAAAGGCTTGCGTTTTCGCCGGGATTCAGTGCCAAATCCAATTTGGCGATCACAAAGAGGAGAAACATAAACCGGGTTTCTTGGAGTGAGTTGCATTTGATATAATTCCTCGATGTTATATCGATTAATATTTCATTCGTATCATTCTTTTTCAGTCTTAAAGAGTTTCTACCACAATCATATGTAAAAGTGAAAGGAATCGAAAAGAAGGTCTTCGCGGAACACAAGAAACATATTGGACTTTCAGAGCTGGACGCCAAGGTTCTATATACTAAAACCGCCAGGTCACTGAATACGTACGGCGTCACATTCTTCTTAGTAAAGGAGAAAATGAAGGGCAAGAACAAACTGGTACCACGTCTACTCGGCGTGACAAAGGATTCTGTCCTGCGACTCGATGAGAAGACGAAAGAAATTCTAAAGACGTGGCCGTTGACGACCGTGCGGCGTTGGGGCGCCTCACCGAACACCTTCACTCTCGACTTTGGTGATTATTCTGATCAATATTACAGTGTACAGACTACCGAAGCAGAGCAGATACTCCAGTTGATCGCTGGTTATATTGACATTATCCTGAAGAAACAGAAAGCGAAGGATCACTTCGGTATTGAGGGAGATGAGGGATCTACTATGGTGGAGGATAGCGTGTCGCCACTAAAGTGAGTATCTCTCACATTCTTAGTACATGTTAGCTCTTCTGAGCTGAATGTGGACAGAAGTAATAATAGTTATTAAGAGAATGTTAGAGCAATTATCAGTTCTCGATGAGAGTCGGACTCTCGTCTTAAAGCGACCGACTTACGTTCAATTGTGCGTCACATCCTAACAATATTTCACGTTAATCTAATGCAATCATGGAAGAGTTTTTAAGAAGTCATGCAAACAAGTGTATTCGAGCGATTTCCAATTCTAATGGGTATATAATTCGCATTAAAAAAAATTGAAATTAAAATTTTTTAATAAAAAATTTAAATAAAAAACACTAATTAAGATTTTTTCATTCAACAGAGCCACCATCATGCAACATGAGACTAGCAATGTCGGTAAAGGAAATGTAGAAGCTGTTTCAGTCGCAATACCAGCTGTTATGAGGGCCGGAGGAGATGGTAAGCGAAATTTTATCATATTTTACTTCACATTTTATCTTAAGTAATTATATTATGACTTTTATTAGATCTTTTAAAGATCTTGTTACATCACAGCGATTGTATATTTAATTATCAGACTTTCATTTGAGTGTATATGATAGCTTCCAAAATTGTTATTTTTATAAATTGAAAATTATGTTTGCTTTAAATTTTTTAAGTCCTGACACACCGCTCTTTTAACGTATTTAGAAAAAATTAATTAATTAGCATTTCTTTGCACGATTGAATCCTCGGATCTTATTGTTAGCTGTTGATATGCATTTTTGTATACACACACACACACACACACACACACACACACACACACACACACACACACACACACTTTTTTCATTTTGTAAATACACATTAAGCTAACGTTTGCAAAAGTGTTGCTTATAATAAAATTAAATAATTAAGTATCATATTAAACTAGCTTTTAGCTTTTAACGGAAAATCATTATCTAAACGATTTTACAGTATCGAGGACTCGATCAGGATTGTTAATAACTGTAAATACAGCTATAGAGTTAGAGTGCACGGTGTGATTTATAGGGGCTCGACCATATGGGACCGGTCACATAGGTGGTGCCCAGTACACGACCGTCAGTGGACAGGTGAACATCGCTCATGCTCCGCCTATGGTAAGCATTTCTAAAAAGCGTCCAAGCTGCTCTCAAGCTCATGTCAATGTCTTTTAGTTGCTTGTTATAAATATATATGCGCCTTGAAGTGTTAAAATTGGAGAGCCTTCGGGAACTTTTTACTTCAGCAAACCGTGTCTCTTTATTGTAATTATTTACGATTTTGATTATGGGGATATATGTATAAAGATGTATGTATTTGGAACAATATTACATATTTTGTAAATGTCTAAAGTCGCACTGATGAGATGATTATATTGCACGTTAGAGAGCAAAATTTTAAATAACTAATAGACGGTTAAATTTATTTTCATGCTAGGCGCCTTCTATTGCGGACACAGAGTAGGTACACTACGATAACATTTTCAGTTATCTCTTCAGTTTATAGAATTTTTTATTATATTTATTTTATTTATTTCTTCGGACTGATTCATTTGCGTTTCATGTCGATCGACTTTCTCTCGGTACAGTGCTTACTGGATAGATAAAAATCTCTGCAATGCGTTACTTGCGATTCATGCTTTTTCACGACAAAATACTTGCTCATATTCAATCAGTAAACTCTGTATCGCCGCAACTATTTGTTGCAGTTTACCGCTTTGTTATGTACGCGCATTTCATTTACGTTCATTGATTGATCTTTATAAGCAAAACAATCCCAATTGTATTTACGCGAGAAATATCTTTTTTTATAGTACTACCAATCATTCAGATTTGCAACGGCCATACGTACATTTACAATGTAATGAACGTTTAAAACTATAGGTCCAACAAACTAAGGTGACATCCGTCCTATCTGAACCGCAACGTGCCTTATTATCAACTATCACCGCTGGTCATGAGGTGATCCACATCGCTGAGACAGAACTGATTACAAAGGCTCAATTACCCGAACTCGGCACAGATCCGGCGTCCTTAAGATGGATCGAGCAGACGATCGACACCCACAAACAGAATGTGGGCTCGCAGATCGCAGCGATGAACGCCGCGACCGCTCAGGTGGTCACGTTAACTTCCGGACCAGCAGACGACGTCGATCACACGGCAGTGGGAGCAGCAATTACCACAATTGCCACGAATTTACCTGAAATGACGAAAGGTGTACGAATGATAGCTGCTCTCATGGATGATGAGTCATCCGGCGAGCGACTATTAGACGCCGCCAGGAAACTATGTTCTGCATTTTCGGATTTACTGAAGGCCACAGAACCTGAGACCAAGGAGGTGAGTTTGTTGTGTCTATGAGAGAACTGCGTATAAAATATAATACGTAACCAGTTTGCTAATGTAAAGTTAAATGTTATTTCAACTCTCCTCTTTCCTCACAGCCTTTCTACATAACATCTACGCTCTATGGACAATATGTAAGCACTAACATTTAAGCTTTGTAGCGCAATAATATTAGACCTGCTTTTACGGATGCACTAAACTTTTTTGCAAGCACTTGATCTTTATCCTACTATATCTTTGAGATGCAAATTTTGTTAATAAAAATTTTTGAATGTACATAAATAAACGTAAAATTAATCTATATTCACTATGACATAGTTGGCTAAAAGATGTAATCCCTTTATTTAACCCTTCAATATCACTCTTGGTAGCATACTCAGTTTTTTTTTTGAAAAATAATCTTTCGAAACTGTTCTTCTTCTGTTTACTTTATTGCTTATAACTTTTTTTATTAATAAAAATACATACATTTATTTGATATCCTTTCGTTCTTTAATACTTGTTGAATTTTGATCGAAAAAAAATTTGTTCACAATATGTTTATTTTTATGAAAATTATAAGCAGTTGAATTGAATATGCCATACATCATTGTGTTGTTCCTAAAACGAGGTGTTAAAATTTAAGAGTTTAAAATATTTAAAAAGACTCATCAAATACGAATTATTGTTTTAAATCTTTTCGTTTATTTCTTATTTTACATATTTTTGGATGTCATGTGAGTTATTCTTTGCTTACATTTTAGCCGCGGCAGAATCTATTAAATGCGGCGTCACGAGTGGGTGAAGCGTCGCATCAAGTATTGACAACTATTGGCGAGGAGGATGACTCGAACCGCGAGCTGCAAGATATGTTACTCGCGCTCGCTAAAGCCGTGGCCAATACTACTGCTGCTCTGGTATTGAAAGCAAAGAATATAGCAGCCACATGCGAAGACTCCGCCACGCAGAATAGAGTGATATCAGCTGCTACCCAGTGCGCACTGGCTACATCTCAGCTCGTAGCTTGCGCAAAAGTTGTAGCACCGACTTTACACTCGCCCGCGTGTCAGACGCAACTAATGAACGCCGTTCGCGAAGTAACGAAGGCTGTGGAACGTCTAGTTCAAGTTTGCAATGAGACGTGCAGCGATGAAAACTTACTGAAAGAGCTGAGCATTGCCGCCGCTGAGGTTAGCCGTACCTTGAACGATCTTCTTAATCACATTAAGACCGCCACTAGAGAACGCGCCAAGGAATCTATCCAGGAAGGTGCAGTGGAAACTATTTTGGTTGCAACAGACAAATTGTTCGCCAGCACTGGCGATGCCGGCGAGATGGTACGACAGGCGAGAGTGGTCGGTCAAGCTACCGCGCAGTTGATTCAAAGTATTAAAGGTGAGGCGGAAAGACAGACAGACTCAGAACAACAACAGCGTCTATTGGCGGCGGCAAAACTACTCGCCGACGCCACTGCCAAGATGGTAGAGGCGGCACGGCAGTGCGCTAGCAGTCCGCACGACGCCAAGATGCAAGATCAACTGCGTCAAGCAGCGGAAGAGTTGCGAGCTGCAACTACAGCGGCAGCAACCCCGGCGTTACGTAGAAAACTTATCACACGTCTAGAAGCGTGTGCCAAACAAGCCGCATCTACGGCCACGCAATGTATCGCGGCATCTTCTGGTGCCGGCCACCATAACACTAATCCGGCCAGCCAGGAGGAGCTCAACATGGAATGTCGCATGATGGCGCAGCAAATTCCATACCTCGTATCGGGAGTAAAGGGCACGCAGGCACAACCGGATAATTCTACGGCTCAGTTGAACCTGATAAATGCTTCCGAGCAGTTTCTGCAACCAGGCACCTCCGTTGTGAAAGCAGCCAGAGCCGTTCTGCCGACGGTCACCGATCAGGCATCCGCCATACAACTGAATAACACTTCGCAGCAGTTGGGATCTTCGTTAGCGGATCTTCGATCGGCGGTGACGCGTGCCAGGGAAGCCTGTGGAGGATTGGAGCTTGACGCTGCGGAGGAGCTAATAAATAGTCTGAAGGATGAACTAGGCGAGTTTTATCGCGCCGTTGAGGCCGCCTCATTGCGACCGTTACCGGAAGAGACGACAGAATCAACCGCGTTGCGACTCGGTGCTACGTCGAAGAACGTTGGATTCGCTATGGCACAGCTATTATCCGCCGCCAAGCAGGGCAATGAAAATTACACCGGAAGCGCAGCTAGAGAAACGGCGTCGGCCTTGAAAGATCTCACGTACGCCGTACGCGGTGTAGCCGCCACATCCAATCAGCCGGAAACGCAAAAGAAAGTGCTGATGACAGCAGACGATGTGATCCTGCGATCGCTACGACTGGTGAAGGAAGCTCGACGTGTACTGAAGAATCCCGATGATCCTGAGAATGAGGTCAATCTAGCTGCGGTTGCAAAAGATGTCTCCAATTCATTGAACAAATGCGTGTCCTGTCTACCCGGGCAAAGAGATGTCGATGAAGCGATATGCAACATTGATGATATGACTCAAGTGCTCAACTTGAACGAGTTTCCGCAAACAAGCAAGAGTTATGGGTAAATAATTTTTGTTGAGTGGTAATAAAGCAGAGCAATATTCTTAGAAATAGAAAATTTATTTCTTTAATTATAAACAACAAAAAAATAATAAGGGCAATAGGAAAAGTATGTTTATTGTTTCTCATTTGTAACGGAGAGAAGCCGCAGTTTTGAAACAAGCATGTGGTTTTTAGAAAAAAACTATGCAATCATAATATTGTGTCATTAAATATAAAAAGTATAAAATATAATTTTTCAATTAAACAAAGAACATTAATAAAGGAAATGATTTGCATTCTATTGTCATGAAATGTATAATATATAGTATCAATGTACAACTTATCTCTGTATAACTTATCTCACAAGGCCTTAGGTCTCGTTACTGTTAGATTTCCTTACTCGCAAAGAAAAGAGAAGAGCTTTATTAGACCAGAAATTGGAATTTAATCAATCAAAAGAAAGAAAATTAATATCAAGTTTAGTAAACTTTGCTTTGATTTGTCAAATTTCAATACAATCTTTAGTCTGATATAGGCTTTACTCCGGCACAGAGCAGATGTGTATTGACCTTTTAATGTTATCTGATGAAAATATCTGGATCTTCAGCGGGCGCGAAAAACAAATAACATATTTCTAGTTTAGTTCATATTAAAATTACCATTGAATAGCAACAGTTATTCTTCTGACTTTTAGTCATGTATTTTTTTTCACTATATTGATTAAAAAAAATTCTATTGCTTGCTACTCTACACATAGAAATAATTGACATGTAGAGAGATACTATTCCAATTTTTTGTACGCTTCGCATTTTTACTTTGCAGGCAATTGCAGAGTGATCTCAACAATGCTGCCGCCAATTTGAACGATGCATCATCGAATGTAGTATCATCCATACGTTCACCCGTACAACTTGCAAATTCGTCGAAACAATTCATCAATGCTTTCGGAGATTTGTTGGGTGTGGGTATGGAGATGGCAAGTCAGACAACGGTTGAAACTCGCAGTCAGGTGGTAGTATCGTTGAAGAATGTTAGTATGACGTCCAGCAAGCTTCTCATGACCGCTAAATCGATCGCAGCTGATCCCACTGCGCCAAACGCGAAGAATCAACTCTCGGCGGCGGCTCGTGCAGTCACCGATTCTATAAATTATCTAGTAGACGTGTGCACTTCAGCGGCACCCGGACAGAATGAGTGCGACAACGCTATCAGAAACATTCAATCCATGCGATCTCTATTGGATAATCCGAGCGAACCCATCTCCGATGCCTCATATTTCGAGTGCTTAGAGACCGTCATGGAAAAGAGTAAAAGCCTCGGGGATGGTATGACTGGCATCGCGAATCACGCGAAAAAGTCGGAACACGAGCAGTTTTCCATCGCGGTTCGCGGAGTCTCCTCTTCGATTTGCGGCTTGATCGAAGCAGCGGCTCAAGCAGCCTATCTGGCGGGCGTGAGCGATCCCACGTCGGTAGCAGGTAAACCGGGTCTGGTGGATCAGGCGCAATTCCTGCGAGCAGCGCAGGCCATTCATAGTGGTTGCCAGAGTCTCGGTAGCCCGACCAGTACGCAACAGCAAGTGCTCTCAGCCGCTACTATGATTGCCAAGCATACCAGCGCGCTTTGTAATGCATGTAGACTCGCGTCCAGCAAAACTAGCAATCCGGTAGCCAAGCGGCACTTTGTTCAATCTGCCAAAGACGTCGCCAATTCAACAGCATGCCTTGTTAAGGAAATCAAGGCGCTTGATCAAAATTATTCCGATATCAACCGCGAAAAGTGTGCGGAAGCCACGAAACCATTACTCGAGGCAGTTGATAATCTTTGCACGTTCGCGAGTTCTCCTGAGTTCGCAAGCCAACCAGCCAAAATATCCATTGCAGCTAAAGCCGCTCAGGAGCCGATCACCAGCGCTGGTAAGTCCATCATCGATGGCTCGTGCGCGATGGTACTGGCGGCCAAGAGTCTCGCGGTCAGTCCGAAGGATCCGCCGACCTGGCAGCTGCTGGCTAATCACAGCAAGAGCGTCAGCGATTCAATCAAATCACTGGTAGCATCGATCCGTGACAAGGCGCCTGGTCAGAAGGAATGCGATGCTGCGATTGAGAAATTGTCGGTACGAATACGCGAACTCGACGCCGCTTCGTTGAGTGCAGTTTCACAGGCGCTAATGTCGCGCCGCGAGAATACCGTGCAGGGATTCACGGATCAGATGGAGAGCAGTGCAAGCGAGCTGCGTGAAAAACTGGAGCCATTGCGTATTGCTGCCAAGTATGAGGCAGAGAATGTTGGCCATGCCGTCAATCAGATCGCTCTTTACTCGGAACCACTCGTTTCTGGCGCAATCGGTGCCGCGTCCAATATGGTGCATTCGAAGCAGCAGATGGTGTTATTAGATCAGACGAAGACCGTAGCCGAATCTGCGTTGCAACTGATTTATATCACCAAAGAATCTGGTGGCAATCCAAAGGCTGTTGCGTTACATACTGAGGTGGACGAGACCGTTGAATCCACTAAAGATGCGCTTCAAGAATTACAGAATACCTTGGAGACTATATCGACATCTGCGGGCATCGTTACTGGTCTGATCGACACGATTTCTCGTGCGATGGTGAGATTGGAGGATCATCGTATGTCCACTATCGACACTGTAGACTCTTACGTGGATTATCAGACAAGGATGGTCGAAGCTGCCAAAGAGATCGCTCGATTGGCACAAGAAATAGTAAGTAGTCTTTAATATCACAATTTTGGCAATTATAAGTACAAAGCACCTTATATACCCTTAATAATTTATTACCCGTATTAACTTGGATCCCCTCACCCTTGCAAATTGAGTTGGGACATGATCAAAAATTTAGTGCTACTTTGTTTTGTTACTAATTTGTTGCTCTAGAGCGAATTTTGTTGTTCTAATCATAAGTATGAAAAATAAAATAAAATAGATGGATCCAGGTTGGCAAGCTTTTCAAAATATGTCAATATCCGAATTTATTGTTCACTTTAACGAATTTCCAATAATTAATTTACAATAAGAAGCAATGCCTATATTGCTCGAAGCTAGATCTTCGAGTGCTTTAAATAATTTCATGTGTAATATATACCATGTTTGTAATCTCTTTGAATTATGTGCCGAAATAATTTTTCGGACTTATAAACGCAATTGAATTATTAGTAATCATAAATTAAATTGCTTAGAAATCTAATTTGATGCAAAATTGACATTAATTATTTTAAGAAGATCTTAATGTATTGAAAATTTATAAACAAATTTTGGCCTATGGTAATTATAATATAACTATGGTAATATATAATATATATAATTAATAATTAATAATATATATATAATAAATAAAGATGTATGTTTTAAAAAATGAATATTATTAGTTTACGGGAATTTGCTTTATTGATTGTGTAATATGCATTAATATCTAATCAATCTATAGACTCAATCATAAATTATACTTATATTAAATTATTTCACTTTTTAATTTCAGTCTACCAAATCAAGCACCGACGTAGTTAGATTGGGACCCCTAGCGGTCGATATATCACACAAGTATACTCAACTCGCTCGCGATACCTCCGGAGCATCCGCGGCTGCCTCCAATGCTGATGTATCCGCCAGACTTCGTACTGGCGTTCAAGAACTCGGCCGAGCTTGCGCGGACATTGTTCGCGCCGCCGGCACATGTCAGATGTCACCCGGTGACGCGTATGCCCAACGAGAGGTCGCGGAGCATAGTAAAATCGTAACCGAGAAGGTATCGCAAGTATTAGCTGCATTACAGGCGGGCTCGCGCGGCACTCAGGCGTGCATCAATGCTGCTAGCACAGTTTCCGGAATTATTGGTGATCTTGACACCACCATCATGTTCGCCACCGCTGGTACGCTGCATGCTGAAAACGAAGGTGATACATTCGCCGATCATCGCGAGAATATATTGCAAACTGCGAAGGCCCTGGTAGAAGATACAAAGACATTAGTGGCCGGAGCAGCGTCCTCGCAGGAACAACTGGCTGTCGCAGCACAGAACGCGGTATCGACGATTGTTCAGCTTGCCGAGGTCGTCAAATACGGTGCAGCCAGTTTAGGCAGTCAGAATCCAGAGGCCCAAGTGATGCTGATCAATGCCGTGAAGGATGTTGCATCTGCACTCGGCGATCTCATACACGCCACCAAAGCCGCCAGTGGCAAACCCATCAATGATCCCAGTATGGCGCATCTGAAAGATTCCGCCAAGGTAATTCGTTTGTCTGAAATTTCTTTTGTTTTTTGTTTTTATGAATATTTACCTGTGATGTTCTAACAACGACAAAACCTATCTCGCGCTTCTGTTATTGCCTAGCATTAATCCAATTGAATATGCTTATTCGAAAGAAACCTTGTTGTAACGAAATATTTAATTATCTCTACAAATGACATGGAGTACTGTATCTGAATAATTAATTTGCTATGCACTAATTTAACAACGAAATGTCCTTCGTGGATTAAAATAACATAATAAATATCCTAAATAAAATTGTAGCGAGAGATTTCCGTATTATATAATTTATAATTATAATTTATTTAATTCTAATAATGTTGTTTTAAATTAATTTTTTTAAGATTAATTAGAATCTACAACGTAACTTATATATCTTTTATGGACAGATTTACGTAAGGTGATTATAAATCTTACACTCAGAGAAAAAGACATAGTAATAACAAGTGTAACAACTATATAAGTTTTATATGTAGAATTAATATAGTTGAATGACTTATTTTAATGCATATGGTTATTGCAACTACAAAATTTATTCAATTACGTACATTAATTGAGACGTTTGTGAAAAGAGAATAATCAACCTATGATATCTCAACAACATTGTGTTACCCACAACATCCGTAAACGATATAAAGGAATTAATGCGAAGACTCGAATGCAAGGAAATAAGACTTGCTTGTTAACAAGCAAAACTAAGCTTATGGTAATAGATTAAGCTGGTAAATTAATGCCAATATCAATCAAGACATAGATATTGTGGTCGATTTAATGTGAAGGCATTTATATGCAAAGCGTGGAAGCGTATTTCTGATCTATTAATTGAAGAATCTCCCTGATGTTAAAGATGCTGATGACTTGTTAACACCTGGACCGTAGGATCATGAGGAAGATAAAAATCGGCCTTATCCAAATTCTGATCTTTCTCATATTGTCTCTACAAAGTGAAGACTTGAATTATCCAAGCAAGAGAGGATGCGTTTAAAATGTGAAGTTCGAGGTTAATACTGTGGATATCATGGACCGCCAGATGCAAAGTGTGTTCATTCTTTTAAATTCTTGTAAAAGGAGTAAAAGATCAATCTATTGTATGTCACCAATGCATATTATCATATTTCTATAACATAACCAGATGCTGAGACATTAAATCGAAAATTTGGCTATCATTGACAACATAATGGTCAAAAAAAAACGAAGTCGATCTCCAACCAGATGAACAGACAACTGAAAGAAAATATCTAAATTCTACATCGCATTGAGGATAGTCATTATCGATGGTGATACATTCCTAAATGAAAATATAGAAACTACAGTTTTCAATCATACAGGAACTTCTTGAGAGAGAGAGAGAGAGAGAGAGAGAGAGAGAGAGAGAGAGAGAGACATATTAATTCTCAAAAGAGATATTAATTCTACATAGTATAAAACTAGTATATTTGTGTATTTAGTTGCTACCACTATATTTTTCTCTGGGTGTATAGAATTTCTGCAAAGACTAACGACAAATCTAATGTTTGTCTAATCTATTAATTCGTTAAATTTTAATAACCTTGTTTTAAACGTAACCATGAAGAATGTTTATCTTTCTTAGAGACATTTTTTGGGGTGGACTTTAATTGACTTTATATTGAGCGTCCTCGTCTGAATTGCTTCTAACTGATTTCGTTCTCGTTCTACTAAAATCTCGCGTAGTATCTACGCAGAATTGATAGCGTTCACCGCTCTCGAACCGTGCGAGGTCGTTAGATACAGGATACGAGGATATCCAGATCAAAGCATGACCGACGCTATTAAAGTCCACCTTGAATCGTTGTTTTCCACGTTCAGCTTCGTATCTGTATCATGTGTGTGATATGAGCAACAGGTGTTGTTTTTATATCTGGCGGACAGCATTCTGTAGAGAATTACATTGTTTGTTTAATGATACTCCGCCTGTTATACACGCTTCCTCTCACCTTCCTCGATGCGATCGAGTTCCGCGATAATAGTGGCGACAGTAGTGCAATTGTTTGTATATCTTGAATGTTTCGACGATGCGAATGGTGGACTTTAATGCGAAAGTCTTATTGACGATTTTGGTCTGGCCCGGTCCGGGATAGGTCTTAGAACAGCAGCTGCAGCAGCAGTTCGTGCATCTGAGTGACATCGGCGGCTCGGAATCGGAATGGTTCGTGTCAGATCAAGAGGAGGAGCTAATTCGTCTACTATCCACTTCCGAAAGCTCTCAACCGACTCAACGGACATCTGACTTATTATTGTTCATGTAGCCAAATTGTCGTTCCCTCCTCGCTGTTGCGTTTTCTATCGCGATCTTGTATAAGATAAATACGAAATGTAGCCATTATTATGTATACAATACTTCTACGTAGATGTAGTTGTTAAATGTGTAAGGTATCAGTGAAACATGTCGCTTCTTAATTAATAGTTAATTAAAGAAATTGGTAATATGATAATCTTTTTGCACTTCCTAAAAATGGTATGTAAAATAATTTTGCCAAAATGTATTACTTTCTTTGTGTTAATGAGTCATTTATTTTGAAATCTTTCGATCTTATCAACTCTTATTATTCAGTTTATATCCGAAATGTAAAGCGAATCATCGTTGGGTACGTACATTTCATTCATAGCATTTTGTGTAAACTATTGACAGGCTTCTAATTAACGCTTCCATATAATTCTATTTATTATTTCGTTATTAGAAGAGATCGTTTGATAGGATGTAATTATGGATATGTGCTTCACACGCTAACTAATTACGCGTATGTTAATATGTTGCAATAGTATTTATGCAGCAATTACTTTAGTGCAGCATTTACTCATTAGTTTAAGATCATCACTAAAATCTTAATTTATATTATATTCACTAACTACATATTATGCCTCTCCCTTCCCCCACCCTTTCTCTCTCTTTCTCTTTTTCCCCTCTCTCTCGCAAATGTTAATATTACAAGCGCAAAAACGATAATAGAACGAATCTGTACTGAAATTACATTCAATTTTCGTCTACAGGTAATGGTGACCAATGTAACGTCATTACTGAAAACAGTGAAGGCCGTGGAGGATGAACATACGCGTGGTACCAGAGCGTTAGAGTCCACAATCGAAGCTATAGCTCAGGAGATCCGAGCGCTCAGCAGCTCAGAAACACAGAGGAGCAACGTTACACCAGAGGATCTCGTGCGTTGCACGAAGAGCATCACCATATCAACGGCGAAGGCGGTCGCCGCTGGCAACAGTTGCAAGCAGGACGATATAATTGCCGCCGCCAATATGGGCAGGAAGTCTATCAGCGATATGCTGACCATCTGTAAGGGCGCGGCCCACAATTGCGCCGAGACCACCGAGCTGTGTGAACGTACCCTTCAGGCGGGACACGATGTTGCCATCAATTATCGGGAACTGCTTCAAGCCATCTTGCAGATATCGTCAAGATCAGGTGACAAACACACCTTGCCAGCGATCTCGCGCAAAATCGCGCAGAGCGTAACGGAACTGGTGGCGGTGGCGGAGCTATTGAAAGGCAATGATTGGGTCGACCCTGACGATCCTACGGTGATCGCGGAGAATGAATTACTCGGGGCAGCTGCCAGTATCGACGCAGCCGCCAAGAAATTGGCGAGTTTAAGACCGAGGAGAAGCATTCAGGTGAGTTTCCGTAATAATTTTGGAATAATTTGCGAAGTGATAGGCATATGTCAATAGCACGAATCATTCTAGTCTCCGTGAGATATGTTTGATTTTCTTGGTCGTTGTGAATGATCGACCGAGAATCGAACATATTATTACGGCGATTGGAGAAATCAACATTCAACAGATAAGTATTAAGAGGAGATATTTGTATACGCAGTATGTATTATGTTGATACAAAAGATTTAACGCTTTCCTATTAACTTTTGTTGCATAAAACGAATCACTTAGAATTTTTTAAATAAAAATATCGAAAAACTTTTTGTCTTTTATATAGAAAAAAAGAATTGTCTTTTATATAGAAAATTTGTCTTTTATATAGAAAAAAGAATTGAAATTAATGGATTATTTTAATTTGTAAAAATTATTTTGTAAAGATGCATGATTTTGTTTTCGTTTATTATCAAAATTATTTTTTTATTTTATTTTGTAATAAATATTTTTTCATTTAACAGGAAGCTAATGAAGATATGAATTTCGATGAAATGATTTTGGAAGCCGCCAAATCAATCGCCGCCGCTACTTCGGCATTAATAAAGGCCGCCAGTGCCGCTCAACGAGAACTTATCGCGACCGGCAAGGTATCACGCACGCCACTGACCAGTTCTGATGATGGGCAATGGTCCGAAGGTCTGATTTCGGCCGCTCGAATGGTCGCAGCCGCTACTCACAGCCTCGTCGAATCCGCGAATGCTCTCGTTCAAGGAGTAAGCTCCGAGGAGAAGTTGATTTCCAGCGCTAAGCAGGTTGCCAGCAGCACGGCGCAACTGTTGGTCGCTTGCAAGGTCAAAGCCGACCCTGACAGCGAGAGCACGAAACGTCTGCAAGCGGCTGGTAATGCCGTGAAACGTGCTACCGATAATCTCGTACGCGCTGCGCAACAGGCTATCCAGCAAGAAGAGGATAGGTCGTTGGTCCTAAACCGCCGTATGGTGGGTGGTATCGCGCAAGAAATCGACGCACGCTCGGAGGTTTTGCGAATTGAGCGCGAGCTGGAGGAAGCCCGAGGCAGGCTGACCGCCATTCGTCTAGCCAAATATAAGAATCGACCGGATTTAGCTGATGGAGATGGTGACGTAGCAGGCGATCAGAGCGGCTATCAAAGTTACACCACTCGGTACGAGACGAGGGCGTACGAACCACAAACTTCGCCCATTCAGACAATGAATCATACTCTGGACCAATTGCAGTCCACCACGCAGCACATTAGTCATCAATTTGCCGATCAGCAGAATCTGGTGAGTCCCGAGAAGGTACATTCGACGCAGAGCACCCTCGAGAGAAAGATGAAGGACAGTCAATACCGATCTACCGTGGATCATTATGGATCCCTGGACAGAAAATACACTGTCGATAGTTATCAGGACAGGAGTCCGTACATTGTCACCGAGAGGAAGATTATAACAGATAATTCACCCGGCCAGTACAGTTCAATTGAGCGAAGAATCAATCAGGAGAGTTACGTTGCAGACAGAAAACACACGGACGGAATCGTTTCCTATCCGCCACCTCAACACATCTCGTATGCGACAAAATCCCCGACCCCCAAGATCGTTCAGGAACAGATTGCCGAGGACCGAAAGTCCCCACAAGATCAACTAAAGTATCCAACTGATCGGTTTTCAAGCGTCAGTCCGATGAGTACGTTCCGTTCCGAGAAGCAAGTGGACACTCAACGATTCAGCAGCGGTATCCCACAGCATCAGACATTCAAGAATGTTGAGAGTAAGACCATTCCCGGTCACAAAATTGAGACTATCACGACGAAAGTATATACGTCCACGCCCGGCAAGAATATCAGTAGCTCCAACTATGAGACTACCGAGGAGACCAAGCAATACACATCCGGCAACGAGCTGTCGACATTCAAAGGCAGCGATAACGTCGAAGAACGTATGATGAAGCAATCAATGCATAAAGTCACGGAGAAGAAGACCGTCACTATGACGATGTCGAGTCGACAGGAGTCCAACACGAAGACTTTCCGTTACGAGGACAAGCAGTGAAAATAAGAAAAGCCCTCTGTAATTAGAAGCGGTAATTTTGTCCAGAGATGAGATCTTAAGAAAAATGACCTGTCTAAATTCGAGCCTAAAAAATGCAATATAAAAACCGCTAAAATACAGATAAAATTATTTTAATACAATAAATAATTTTCTCACTATTGAGAGAGATTAACGAGCTTTTAAATCAAGATTGAAATGAGAATAATGACAGTGGTGGTTTTTGTCGAATAATGACAAAGACGAGCTTTAACAAGGACCTCACCAATTTCATCGAGAATCTGTTTCTCGTTAAGAGCGTTTAAATTTATCGCATTTTCAAAACAAGGAAATGTAGCAGAATTATTTATTAGTGAAACGATAGAAAGTGTCCTTAGATACATGTAATACATGTCCTTTCAATCAATAGCCTTACGAATGTATTTAACATTGGATTTCACGATCATGAGCCATGGATCGTTTTTCAATAGCCATATAATTGATCTTACGAGACACAAATTGATATAATATTATATCAAACATAGGAAATGCTGATTGTTCGCTTTCATATTGGCATAGTAAGTTTTCTGTTTTTTTTTTTCTTTGCTTATACATTTATTCGAGGATGATAGGAGATATTATGTGCTTGATTTAATATAGAATTAATTTTATGTTTATTCATTTTACGGTTAAGAACCACTGGATTAACAAGAGAAGCAACATATCAGTTAATTTTATTAATTTTTCCGATGTCGCATGGTGTCGAGATGAGCCCGGCGACGCGCCACTGCTATTAACACTTTCTGTTTTCTCGATTAATTCTCCCTTTCTGGTGTTTTATTACGTCTCTATTCTGAAGATCTTTCAGACTCGCCAAAAAAATACTGATTCTTTATCCTGATACTTTTCTTCTAGCGCGGTTCTACGGTATGGTTAATTTGTGAGCGGTAGCTCGTTCTCAAATTAAATTTATTAATTGAATTTACTAATGTCGGTTCATGTTTCCGAGCCCAACTAATGCTTCTACAAGTGATCGATTTAATGCAATTAGGCCAGTGGCACTAGAAGATGGAAATAGTAAAATTTAAGTGATAAATAAACCAATTGGTCAAGACTTTATACTTATACTATTTTCGACAATTTTTAACTGTAATTGCCCTGGTGAAAAATAATTTTCTTCATATAATTTTTGAGAATTTCTAATTTACAGAATTTGTATATAATCTTACTTCAAAAATTTCTCATTATTTTACACATATTGGAATATAAAAATGTTCAAAAGTTTATATTTTTTTTTAGAATTCTTTATATACGTAGAGGAGAAGATGGTATTACGATCATTATATATATATATATTTTGTGCTTCCCCTAATATCTACGCTATTATATAGCGAATTCTAATTACTTATGGAATTATTTGTTCAGTAGCTCGCCGTTACATGACGCTAATATATGAATACTCAATAATCAACACTTATTATAATACATTTTTACTTTCAAGTGTTTCAAAACTTTCTGAGATGTATTTTAGCAATTAATTATTTTTACTTCCTCATTTTTCTTAAACTTGAGTGTATTGTCATACGAATATATATATA